TTTCTCTGGTTACATTTATTCCAAGGTATTTCATCCTTTGGGTGGCTATTGTAAATGGGATTGCTTTTCTAATGTCCCAGTCATATATCTTGTTTTTGTTTGCATGTTTTCATTTATGTTTGATAGTCTATTTATGTCATATATCAGAGTTCCTAAATTTGTTGCTAATATTTAATTGATGATCTGTATAGGTCTTGTTCTGGAGTTCCAATCATCCATAAGTTGTTTCTCTTTATGGTGTCCCACATAACTGTTAGGCCTTCTTTGGCACTGTGTGTTCTGCAGGTTTGATGATGCAGAGTCCACATGCCTCCAGACTCGGGGGTGATGTACATCCAGCACCTGATTCATGAGCCGGCACTTCCAACCTCTGGTGGAGCAGAGGCTGTGCAGGGAGGGAGTGTTTGTGGGTGGGTGACAGTTGGGGATGGCCATGTCTCTGGTCACCGGTAGAGTATGGGGAACAAGGGGAGGATCACACCTTTTTGGTCATCAGTCACTGATGTGGGCACTTTTGCTGTTCTGGGTGAGCAGAGCAGAGCAGATTATCAGGTTGCTGTCCAGATCAAATACTGCTTGCAAAAGTTCAACGTGGCTGCAATGGGTTAGGCCAGCTTACAATTCACCCATTCTGCCTGTCTCCTCTCTTACCACTTTTGTTCAGTTTCTTCTCCTAGTCAATGTTCAATCCAGTTCTCTATCCTTTCCTATGGAGCTCAGGGTTCCAGAATTACCATTTGTATCTATGTCACCTGGTCTCTCATGTCTTTGTTGTAGAAGGTCTGGGTAGCATGTCTACTTAGTCTCTCATTTTGCTGGAAGTCTTGGTGTCATTCTTAAAGAAAGGTCCAACAAAAAGTAGTTTTTGTCACATGAGAAAAAGTGTGTTTATGAACTGCTGTCTATGAGATCTATCAAAACATAATGGTGAAAATGAGGAGAATGTGTCACTCTCCCTGGACACTCCCCATATGCATTTCTACCAGGCTAAGCAACCATGGGCCAAGCTCAGGTCAATGTGTCCATTTTATGTATATGTGGAACCCTCCTAGCTGAACGTTATTCTTTCTGTTTAGCAAGTGAGGAAAGAAACTTGGAAATAAGCTGCAGACAGAAGAATATCTGCGTGTGAGTATGTGTGAGTGTTGGTGTATGTGAGTGACACAATGTAAGTACTAAAAGTGCATATGAGTTGAAAGTATGTGTCTTTGTATGTATGGTCTGTGTTTCGTGATGAAACTACCTCCCTGACTGCAGAGTTCTGCTTTCCAGGAATAAGCCTAGTCCTGTATTCAGAGTTCACTAGTCAAGCCCAGGAAGGAGTCCCATAGGTGGGGGAACTGCCACAACTACCTTCCTTGCCCTTTTCAGGGCTGTGTCCATCTGAGGACCAAGGAAACAACTGTTCTGTGTTCACCTCAAGGACTGTGTCAGCGCTTTGCAGAAAGACTCTGCTCCTGGGATAGAGTCCGTAGTTTGCTTCTGCTGGGTAGTCATATAGAGATGGCCTCTTTCACCCTTTTCCTTTAGAACCTATTGGAAGAAGATGGGTTTTCATTTTCCTTTAATGTTTCTTAGTACCTCCTAAACGGCTACATCTCAGAGCTCCTGGGAAAGCAAGAGATTTTCAACTAATCCTTCTAGCCTCACGACGGCCTCTACCAGTGAACCCAAGAGTCCACAAGGAACTTCCTCATCACAGGGAGCATCCTCATTGGAAAGTTCAAAGGTGCCAGGTAACCTGCTTGCCATTTAAGGATAAGTTATTGTGAGTATGCTTCAGTATGATCTGTTCCTTGTCTTCCTCTCTATCTGCATTGTGGGTTCAAGAGAGACATTTCAGTAAGTTCATCTCCCTTCTGGTCCATTTGGTCCTTATAATCCTTCTCAACTGATACTCTGTGAACTGTCTTATACACATGTAATTAACACTTTATCTTCCCTTCAAGAGGGTTTTCAGGTAAGAGGGATGTGAAAGTGTAAAGTAACTTTAGTTGATCCAGGGAAGAGAAATCCTGGAATTGGGAGGCTAAAACTGGGGTTTGTGTCCTTGGGTGAACAGGAGTAACAGGAACAATGATGAGGGTAGTGATGGGATGAGGATGGTGATGGTGGTGATAGTGATGAATGGGATACCTGTATTACCGCACAGAATAAAAAACGGATACAAAAACACTTCATAGACTGAAACCATTATACTCATATTGTTAATTATTTGGGGCAGATAACTTGAATTTATTGAGCATCCAATAATTTCACACCATGGGATTTATTTTCTAATATAGAAGAAACTTATTTTATAAATAAAATATTTTGTTTGTCATCCAAAAGCATCCCACTGAATCTGACCCAGATGATCAGATATCACATACAGTTACATGCCATGAGGCTTGGTGCAGGTCTCCCTGTAGCCTCAGGTGTTTTCTTAATGTGGACGATCCCTGGAGAGGAATTTTCTAGGGATAGCACCCCAGTATGCCACCCTCTTGCACTTGGGGGCCCACAGGGTCCTGCTCACATTGAAACAATGCCTGCAGAGTCTCAGCAAGTCCTTTCTCTCCACAGGAACCTTCTGGTACACTTTCAACAGAGTCTGATAAACCAAGTGTTGAGGATGGAGTCAGGTGTGGGCTCCTCAATCTCCTCAGGCCCCATTGCTGCCCTAGGGGAGTTGGATACTGAGTCTGACAGCTCCTCTCAGGAGAAAGCCAAGACCAGGGATCTCCAATGCTTGGAGCCACAGCTCACAGACCTCAGGAAACTTCAAGAGCTTCCCATCTGTGGGGACCCTGCTGTCACCAGTACTAGCATCCTGGCAGTTGCAAGAGATGGAGATGACTTTCTGAACACAGGCCCCACAGGCGAGCAGAGCAGCAGTGGCAAAATCCCTAATCGGGACAGTGGGATAGACAGCCCATCCTGCAGCGTGACCAGTGAGAGCTTCCCCAGTGAGGAGGGCAGTGAGGTAGGCCAGGACCCCACGATGCTGGGGCTCAACCCAGAGACAAATGCAAAGGATGCCCTACAGGACATCACCAGTGCCATGGACAAGGGCAACAATGAGGACCCCAACCCAAGTACCATCCTCCAGAGAAGTGACATGGAGGCGGGCACAACCAAGGTAGGACTCACCATCCTTTACCCCAGTCTTTCCTTGGAGGGGATGTCAGTGACTGTGGTAGCCTTCACCTGGGTGCATTGCTGTTGTTGTTAGGTACCATTGAGTCAGTTCTGATTCATAGTGACCCTATGTACAACAGAACAAAACAGTGCCCAGCCCTGTGCCATCTCCACAATTGTTGGTTATGTTTAAATCCACTGCTGTTATCCCTGTGTCAATCACCTTGTTGGAGGTAAAATTGGAAGCAAAAACTGAGTAACAAGAAGGATGGTGAGGGTAGTGAAGGTGCTGTACCACTGCAGCAGTGATGGGATGAGGATGCGGATGGTGATGGTGACCCTCCACTTTACAACGCATGTAAAAGTTGGACAATGAATAAGAAAGACCATAGAAGAATCAATGCATTTGAATTATGGTGTTGGCAAAGAATTTTCAAAATAGAACAAACATATCTACCAGTATACTCCCTAGAAGTAAGGATCATGAGAGTTCGTCTCTTATTCTTTGGACATGTCGGGAGGGACCAGTTTCTGGAGAAAGAAAGGAATGTTGGGAAACATGATTAGAGAAAACTTGTAAGCCCGCCTTCAGCCTATAACTGATTGGAATACCTAAAAGGGGTTCTATAACTTGCCCAGTGAAATAGGCCTCATGCAAACGCTTTACAGAGTATAGGACCTTAGGTGGAATCCTGAGTCATTCCCTCTAGTATAGAGTGTAGGTCTCCTTCCAGCTCATTTGCCTCAGTCACTTTATCTCGTTTCTGGACATGTGCAGATATGGTCATCTGCTTCTGTTTTTTGGGCATCTT